AGAAGTCAATCACGTGGGTAAACAAGGAGCTCCTGTAGGAGGCGGGGGGGGGGGGGACCGCCGCAGCTTTCGGACGCGGAGCCGGATGAAACCAACGAAAAAGCATGCTAGGAAATTCCATCGACAACGTTCATCTCCCTAGCAACAAAGCCAAATATATGTAGCACCGAGGCAATTAGTCAAATGAGTACAGCCCACCCCTCCCCTCAAAAACAGGCCAAAGACAAAAAGTTGGCCCGCTCCAACCCCGGCTTCCTCCTCACCTTGCCCCTAGAACCTGGGCGGCGATCGAAGGAGCTTCGGCGATCAAGGCGAACAAGAGCCACAGCGACAGGGCCACCTGATGCGCCCCGACCGCAGCCGAGGACATTCTCGTGGCAACCGCCGTGGCCACAGCCCAGCAAGCCATAAGCGATGTCGTTCTGAGGAAGGGGAACCACCGCAAAAAAAAAAGAAGGCACAACTAGAGATGAGGCCCGGTCGGTCCGGCCCGCAGAGAGAGGGGAGGTTGGTTTGTCTCCGTCACGGTGTTGTGACTGGGGCGGGTCGGGAGAGAGGAGGAGCGATGCCGCGTGCTGGTTTGTTTTCTCCTCTCTTCTCGTCTCTTCCTACCCCCAGCATACTGCGGCAAGAAGCAGTATCGGCGCCATCGCAGCAGCAGCAGCAGCACCGACCGCATGGCCAATTTCCACCGCACACACCACACAAGCACCGCACCTGAGAAGCATAGCTGCATTCGCCGAGATCACCGTCACCAAGAGCGACCACGCCGCGGGCGCTGATGTTCCCGCCGCCGCCGCCGCCGCCGCCGCCTGCCCCCCCCCCTCCCGTCGACGCTTTCCCCTCGCCCCGAAGAATGGCACCGCCATCCTGCCCTCCCTGGCCCCCCTCCACAGCATGGCCCCGTAGATCGCCACCGCCAGGTACTGCGCGAACGCCGTCGCGCCCGCCGCCCCGGCCACCCCCATGGACAGCGTGAACATGAACACCGGGTCCAGGAGGATGTTGGTGAACGCCGCGCTCAGCGCCGCCACGGCGGGGGCCCTCGTGTCGGCGTGCCCGCGGAACACCCCCTCGCTCACCATGATCAGCAGCACCGCCGGAGCCGCTAGCGCTCGGACCTGTGTTGCAAAGGGTCATGGCACAGTACGAGGCGCGAGAGTTCTGGCGGGTTTAGTATCGACGTGGTTGCCATTTGGCGGAGTCGCTAGCGCTCGGACCTGTGAAAAGGGTTTTCGGTAGAAGGCATGGTATGCCGTGGGGGAGGGTTCGGTAGAGAGTGCTGAAGAAAGTGCTGGCAGTCCACGTGGTTATTTTTTGGATTGGTTGCGTTGCGTATGGGGGGGGGGGGTGTACTCATAGTCGTGCAATGCCGTAGTCGTTAGACCATTGACTTCGCATCCCTACAAAGCCGGGACGGAGCACGCCGGGTTCCCACAGGACCAGGCTCTCACATCACCAAGCGCGAAGCGCCGTGAGGTATTCGGCGAGTCGCATGAAGGGTGAGCTGCAACCTGCTAAGGGTGTTCGGCATCTTGTGCTTACTTCCTTGCATACGGATGACAGCTGCGTATGACTTAATTTATTTTCTGGTATTCTTTGAGACAGTCATAAGCACTGTGTAACTGCCTCGAGGGTTCTCGACCCCGCATAACATAATCAACTCCACCACCATTGTGGTTACCACCAAAACAAAAAAAACAGAGGTAATAAAAAAGCGGTAATCTGGTTGCCGAGATCACGAAGTGATCGGCTTGTTCATGATCGCTGCCAAGCGCCAAAAACCCCAACCCCGATGGCAAACACCGGGGGCGGCGGCATGTTTTACAACGTCGTTGCCAAGCGACGAAAACCCAACCCCGACGGCAAACACCGGGGGGGGCGATATGTTTCGTTGTTGCCAAGCGACGAAAACCCAACCCCGATGGCAAACATCGGGGGGGGGGGGTCGATAAACTACATAGCTGGGTTGTTTGGGTGCACGGGTAGGGGACGGTGGTTTGAGGCATGCATGCTAAGACGGAGAGATACACACACACGGCGGAATATAAGCCTTGACACAGGAAGAGGTGACGAAGTACGCCCCGCTTGACGCCCTTGACCAGAGCCGTAGAACAGCTAGAGAAAATAAAGACAGATGCTCACGCTGACATTGCATCATTGCGCCCCCACTACGGCTCCACCAAAGCTCAGGGAACGGATGCTACACAACTACAAGAAATACAAAACACGCACATCAAACGCACAGCCCCTTGTCGGAAGAACCCGCGGACTCACAGCAGTTTAGTGTTGTCCCTCCAAACTCTAACAATGGGCCGCGGGTGGAGGGACACAGCAAGTAGTCGATGCACAATAAACACCCACCTCAAACCGCAAATACATGTCGACCATAGATGCAAATCACAAAGAACCACTCAAACGCGATGACATCGACGTGCTGAACGCAGATGAAAGACCACTCAAACGCAAAGACATGCCGACGTTATAGATGCAAATTAAAGAAACACTCAAACACAAAGGCATGCCGACGTCAACAACCACGCCACACCTTCAGATACCCCGAGGCTTCCCTGAAGAGGGCAGTCTTGGGTCCCGCGCCCATGAGAGCCAAAATCGACGGAGCCTGCGTAAGTAGCGTCACCTGGAGCCCCACGCCGAGCACGCACGCGATCACGTACATCTGCTGTACAATCTGACCTGACGACAAAGGAAGGTACAGGAGAGACGACAAAATAAGGTACAGGGGAGAGGACTACTGATCGTCATGCGTGGCCGCAGGTTCTTGACGAAGCTTGCATCCGAAGTAGTACTTTTTATTAGATGACTGATCATCTTAACGCTACGCAAGGCTTCTGCCAAAAAAAAAGCGTTGTAAGAAGAGGATATGACGTTTCGCAAAACCAAACGAAACAGCTCGATTTTAGAGAAAGGGATTTGCATAAAATCATATTTTTACAGGGGGGACGAAAACCCCCCCGAAATAGTAAATACCTGTTTCATGGCATTTAGCGCCGTAGATCGAAAAGTTAAAATGTGCCAAATCCAAAGCCTCTACCAGGTACATGTTTTTCGCAGCTTGAGAACACCCGGTGACGCAGCTACACTCGTGTTGAATCCGTTTGTTGATCGGGCACAGACACGTGGAGGAGAACGGCGGCGACGCCTCTAACGACCCACACAATCCGTCATTTTGGCCAAATTTCGGGCTGCTGCATGCAACTAGATACAGTTCACAAGGGCACCTCTAGAATCGTTTCTGGTTGTCTGCTGCTGCTGCTGCTGCGGCTGTCAAGTCATGCGACGCCACTCATACACCATATCGGTAGATAGGTTCTGGCAGTTTCGAGCAGCGTGGTTGCTTGTGGCGTGCTGTAGCTGTCGGCAACGGAAGCACACTTTGCTGCGCTGGTTCACCAAAAAATCTTGGCGGGAAGATTGTGCTCAAATCGCAAAACTGCAAGCACCTCGATCTCGCGCTACAAGGCCTAAACTGATTAGCGGCACGTTTCTTGATCGACGGGGTTGCTCAAGCTGGAATGATTTCTCCAAAAATGTGTAGAGGTTTGTATCTCCTGGGGCTAAGCGCCAGAGGGGACAATTGACACTGTATATCTAGCAGTTTGACCTGCGAGAAGAAGAAAAAAAAGTTGGCGAAAAATACACCATCGCGGAGCCCCGGGGGCGCAGGGGACGGCGAGAAACCTTGCGTAGCCTAAACACTTGAACTCCCCGTATCTGAAAGGAAAACGACCCCAATAATCAAGCGACCAACAGGGCTAGCACCCATCGAGTTCCCCCCCGTGTGGTTGGTGAAACCTTGCCGCGCTGCCCTGTCCCGGTACTGCTGTGTAGGGATGCAAGATTCTTCGAGAACCTGCGGCCACGCATGACGATCAGTAGCCCAGGGCAAACGACACAACAGGGCATCCCCTGGTCGAAAAGCGACTCTACTGGGCACATACTATTCAGCATCGTGAAATAAACCCACATGATTGGTTCACCCCGCCGCGTCCTAAAAAGCGCGGGGTATACCCTGCCATGGCTAGTTTTCTCCAGAATTGTATCCTGACTTCGGAAATGTACCGTGGAGCTGACAGGAAATGAGACCCTTTCATCAACAATTTCCTCCGCAGGAATCCTTGCCAAATCCTTTTTCCTCTCCAACCAGATACCAAACAGCGACTCTTCCCGCCCACAGACAACGAACAGGACGGAGTTTCCGCTCCTGCAAAACAACGCCAACCATCACATATTCCCGCTCTAAACGAACAATGGCTGGCACACGCCAATGGGAGAGATGCGGGTCACGCTTAGAACGCGAGACCGATCCAGCATGGTTGAGATGTATGCATGTGCCGATGTGTGGTATGGTGGTGGCGGCGAGCTCGTGATTGCAGATAGGGGAGGAAGGATTAGCACGCACACACATGGAGTCTTCTCCTTACTCAAGAAGCAAGACGCTGCGGTGTCGTCCAACTCCAGCACCCTCCCTGTTGGTAGAGAGAATCTTCGCGTTTGTTTTTTCATCCCGCTGAAGCCTGACGTCTTATTCGCTGGTCGGTTGGAAAGCGCGATAGAACGTAGATACTAATTTCATCATCGATCATCAGGAAGGAGGGAGTGGCGGCCAAGAAGCTTCGGTGGAACGAGCGGCGCACAAAGTTACCCGTGTACTGTCCTCGTCCTACACCAAATAAACACATCCAACATCACAAAACGGACTACCGTAAGGATGCGCGTCTTGACACACTGTACGGTCGTCTTTTTAAATGTGTACGTTGTCGGAAGTGAATTAAACATTTGGTCCTGAAAATATAACGCACCCCCTGTGCGATGACTCCGATCCGTGCGATTCTGAGTAAATACAAAGCGGCGATGTGGGTTGTTTTGAACGCACACCCCCGTGCCAAGACTCCGATGTGTGCGATCCTGAACAAATCACAGCAGACACACACCAGCACTTGGTGTGCAGTATTGCAGCATTAGGACCACAACATACCGGTAGGATACAGACACAACAGCCCAGCACCAGCACACCAGCACACACAAAAATACGCGGCGGAATACAAAAATGCGGCGAAAAAAATCCGAGGCGGCGAGGCGGCGATTTACCTTGAAATTCCCCGACACATCGGTGTGCGCTAACACACACACGACCACAAGCAACACGTCGCTTGGTCTCGTGTGGTTTGTACGCGTTCATGGTTGATTGAGTACTGTAGATACCGTTTGCCGATTCCGACAACAACAACAATGTTCAACACGAAGGCGGTTCCAGAAATATTAAAACATCACTTGCACATGAGCAACGTTACGATGCCGAAGTGCTGCAGCAGTGGCGCCCATGCTACAAGCTTCGCTGCTTGGTATCTGGTTGGAGAGGAAAAGGATTGGGAAAGGATTCCTGGGGAGGAAAAGGTTAATGAAAGGGTATTATTTCCCGTCAGCTCCAGGGTATATTTCCGAAAGCAGGGTACAATCAATTCTGGAGAAAAGTAGCCACGGCAGGGTATACCCCGCACTTTTTAGGACGCGGCAGGGTGAAAGTGGGCGTTGACCCATCAGGTGGGTGCATTACCACGTTGCTCAATAGTACGTGCCCAGTTGAGTGGCTTTTCGACCAGGGTATAACCTGCTGTGTCGTTTCCCGAAGCAAAGGACTTTGAGCGTGGCACACGCCATTGTTACCGTGCTTGGTCACTGCTTAACTACTGCTGTTGCACATCATCACTGGCCAACATGGACTGCTGATTTGCATCTCCAGCATTTTGTCTTGTATTTCGTGAGCATCTCTTTTCAGCAAATCTGCCACTTACTGAAAATAACACACCAAGCAATCTGCAACAAGGGGAACTGTTCTTGACCTATACCGTATACTAGTCTTAGCAGACCCCAAGACACTGATTTTATCACGGGGAATGGGTATGGGGCTCGCGAGGAGACAAGAGGAGAGTGCGAGGTAAACGGCAGAAGCAAAAGTCGAGTGAGCGCTCGAAACGTTTGCGTGCGTGTGTGGCAAGAGCGGGCGGCAAAGGCATGGCGGAACAGGAGGGAGGTGCGTCAATGACCACGTTCACCAGAGCCACTGGGGCACAGAGGAGCCAACGCTCTCGTCGCACTAACACCGACAGAAACCTCTACATAGGGTTAAAGTCCGCTCGATGTCCTTTCCCGGTCGTCGTTCACGCCCAAAACATGCTTTCTGAGTCAGCAATACCTGTTTTTTCTTCGTTTCCCGCCGCCAGGTTTTTCCCGAGGAGGGCCGTGGTGTTTTGGGTCAGCGACCGGAACGTGTTGAAGGAGAAGTGGAAGATGTTCGTGCACGGGCCTGGCCGAAGTGTGTCGTTGTGGACAAAGGGCGGTTAGGGGGGGTGGCGGGGGGGTGTTGCGCAAGGAGAGCGAGAGGCGGAGATCGCAGAACAAAGACGGACCAACCGACCGCAAGCAGGCAGACGAGCAACCAGAGAGACAGAGAGACGTCGAGAAAACGCCGACAACGACAGCAGCAAACCCAGCAACTGTACACACCGACGAAACCACTACACTACAGCTCCAGCAGCAGCAGCGTAACGCCGACAACGACGACAGCAACAGCAACAGGTACCGAACACGAGGTAAGCATTGGGGAAAGGAAGAGAAGGCTGATCCGCGGACACAGGAACCCGTAAGGGCCAGAACGACAATTTGGCCTACATCGTCGTTGCTATCGCTGCAGCTACACAGCAGCAGAAAAAAAGGGGGGGCTGTCACCGGCGGATCGCCACCACAATTGAGAAACAGCTCAAAAACATCGCCCAGCTGCGTGACGTGCATGAAGACTTTAGCCGGCAGCCTTTCAAATGATAGCCAGAGCCTCAACGCGCAGCAAGCAAAATACGGACGGCACGCAATGAGGCAGGCAGGAACGCCTTCGAACTCGGAGAGTAAGAGAAAGATAACAAGAGACGCACCGAGGGCAGCGAGGCTGATCGAAGCCAGGCCTCGCCCGACGTACGCCGTGTCTACCAGCGAAAGGATCG